GCAAACTTTCCCTTCCAGCTAACAGCTTATTTTAGCTTTATTAAACTACCTGCTTGTGCAAACTTTTCCCTCCAGTGAACAGCTTATCTTGGTTTCTATTAAACTGTTTGCTTGTGCAAACTTTTCCCTCCAGCTAACAGCTTATCTTAGCTTCAGTAAAACTGCTTACTTGTGCAAACCTCCCCTTGCAGCTGCTGAGTGAGATAACAATATGTGGTTTTTGCCTTTAAAAGCCCTTTGGTCTAAATGCTCAGGATTATACTTGAGTCCCCAGATACCTGAGTGTAGTTCCAGGTGGCAGGAATAAAGACTTTTATTTGGTTATAAACTGTGTCTGAGTGGTCATCTTTGGTGGGCTCCCTGCAATAATTTCCTTCATTTTGCTGTTCCATGTTCTGATGAATAGATGTGTGCTCATTGTCACTTGGTCTTCATTTCCTAGCCTCCCTTGAATGCCTTTTGCTGACTGGAAACTACCAGGAGAAACTTGTTGGGAGGGTTTCTGGGAAAGTTTTGTTGTATAATGAAAGGGCAAGTTTCCTGATACCATTTCTTTCCCTCTACTTCATGCTGTTGTGCCCAAGTTGCAAAGTCCCCAGAGACCACCAGAAAGACAGACCCACTAAACTGCAAAAGCAAAGTTTAATGATTGTTCATCCAACCATGACAGGGACCCCATCTAGCAAGCTGACACAGCAGCCTCCAGAAGGAGTGAAGTTCCCTGTCTACTGCTAGGTTTTATAGACAAAAGTTACAGGATTACATCAGTAGGTACAGGTTGGTTTCTGATTGGTTGACATTTGGGAACAATCAGGAGCATTTCTCAAAGTCATATTTTGGCATGAAATACCTGTATACCAATTATTTTCATTGGTCAGGGCTGAGAGGGAACATTCTGTGGTTTCTATGGCATTGTCTTGTTACTTGCAGGTGGCCTGTTGTATGTACATAGATACCAAGCTTTCAGAACTGTATCCTGGAGACTACAGGGAGTTTCTTTTGTGGCCAAACAGTTCCCAGGAACCCAGCATGGAGGAGGCTGGGAGTGTTGGTGGTCTGGAGTTTCTTTGTGCCCAGTTTTGGCCCTAGGCTCTGACAGGCCAGAGGATCTGGAGTTTCCTTGTGTCAGAGGCCTACGTGTTTTTTCTGTAGCCTGTCATGGCTGCTAAAGCAGGGGGCTGAGTGAAGGTCTGGTCCCTGTATTTCTGAATTATTAGAAGTGAAGCGTTTGAGTTTAGTTTACCCTTTTCACATGCCAAGTGTAGGGTTGCAACAATCTTGTCATGAAGTTATGAAGTGGAGGACTCTGGTACGGTTGAGATACTAAGCTAGATCTCCAGCATCCAAGAGTTTTAGACACCTTGATATCTGAGAAAGCCCTGTACTCTAGAAGCCAGGTTTTCTAGACTTGGAACCCAGATCACTCCTAACTGATACAATGGGAATATTTTTTTGTTGTTGTTGTTGTTTGGTTGGTTTTTCGAGGCAGGGTTTCTCTGTGGCTTTGGAGGCTGTCCTGGAACTAACTCTTGTAGACCAGGCTGGTCTCGAACTCACAGAGATCTGCCTGCCTCTGCCTCCCAAGTGCTGGGATTAAAGGCGTGCGCTATACCACCCGGCTATTTTGACTTTTTTGAATAAAAAAAGAAAAAAGCTGGTCATGGTCATGCATGCCTGTAATCTCAGCACTCCAAGAGGTAATGGCAAGAGGACCACAAAGTTCAAGATCATTATCAGCTACACAGCAAATTCAAGACTAGTCTGAGTTACAAGTCTATGTCTCAAAAATGAATTCAAAAATAAAGTAGTGTTTCACTCAGGCTGGGCTTCCTTTATTTTTACTTTTTTTGAATTCAGAACCCACAGTGTTAATGACTGAAACACCATCTAGTATTTGGCTGTGGTCAGTCTAGGACTAGGCATGTCTATAAACTGGTATAAGTACATACCAGGGACAGATTGGCTAAGGATCAGTGCTATGACTCATCAAAACAGGACAGTGCATAGTCTCTTCAATCCATTTATTTTTTCTATCTGTAAACATGTTCTGTCGTCAAGATTTAATGCTGTGACATTAAATCATCACCTGCAATGTCAGATTGATTGAATGCAACATCCATAAAGAGGAGCTAACTGGCCTTTATAGACATTCAGCAGGACAGGCTGGTACTTTTTGTCAAATATAAGACAATTTTGTCTAATTTTTCTGCATGTAGGTGGAGATTCCAAGGGCTGATAAATGTTGGACCTAATGTCAGGTTTCAAGGTCCAATTTCATTTCCCCACACTTGGCTATCTTGGTGGCACAAGCCTTTAATGATCTTTGACAACATTAAGAGGAACTAATTTATCCAGCCTTCATAAATATCAAAGCAAAACTCAAGTTTATAAGACAGGAATGGGGGTTCATACCTGTAATCTCAGTACTTGGGAAGTGGCTACTCTTCAGCCCAACCTGGACTATATAATAGAACCTGTCTCTATCCCAACCCTGAACAAAGCAATTATAAAACTCAGGTTATAATTTCTATTTTTATTTGGAATATTGTTTCTTTCTAAGCTTTACTTTTAGCTTGCAATTTTGAGTTTCCTTCGATTTTGACTCATTCCATCTTGTTCAAAAAACTGTAGAAAACAAAGAATTGGGCATGGTGGTTTTAGTTTGGAGTTTCTGATTCAAGATTTCACATATCTTCCTTGTAGAGCCCAAGGAATCCACACTTGCATTGGGTAGTTTAGAACTAACCTGAGAACTTTATGTTTAGCCTTGCTTTGAGCCTATTACAAAACTGATTCATTTAAATTTTACCAGCACCCCAACGCTCTCCTAAACTCCATAATCATCCTCTCCTTCCCTTCGTTTGGCAGCATATGGCATGATTCCCATTGTGTGGTCTGCATTTATGTAACCATGTGTGTGCTTGTGTGCGGGTATTCATGCAAGTCAGAAGAGGGGTTTGTATTCCCTGGAGCTGAAGTAACAGATGCTTGTGAACCACCCCATGTGCGTGATGGGAACTGAACTTGAGTCCTCTTTGAGTCCTCTGTAACCACTGAGCCATTTCTTCAGACCCATCCCTACAGGCTTTATTCTGAAAGATATAATTTCAACAGGTTCTGTAGAAAAACAAGTTTCTCAGTCAGCCTGGGAGCAGCAGTCACTTAAAGGTGCTAGCTGTTATGTTACTTTCTAGCTGTAGCAATCCCTTGGGAGAATGGTTATTTTCTGTTACCTGTTCGGTTGGCTTTATCTGTGTATCATTCCAGCCTAATGAATGGCTAGGCAAATTTGCACTTTCTCACTCTGAGCTGGTTTTTTACTTTCTCAGTCCCTTCTTTTGTTCAAGAGCCATGAAATTCAGTTCCCTGTACATTATTTTGTGAACACCAGAGCTGCACCACTGAAATCCACTCACTGGAAAGTCATGTAAACAGTTGGCTTAGAGTCCAACTTTCATATTATTTTCCTTGTGAGAGGAACTGTTAATTTACATAACAATAACTGGACAGTAGCAGTTTTGAGTTAAGATAACACATTGGAACACTATAACACAGACAAATGTTAACATGTTTGCTACAAAGTAAGCTTTGCAGTACACTTGTAAAAGAAGTCAAGTGTAGCCGAAGGTGGTGGCGCATGCCTTTAATTCTAGCACTTGGGAGGCAAAGGCAGGTGAATCTCTGTGAGTTCCAGGCCAGTCTGATCTACAGAGTGAGTTCCAGGACAGGCTCCAAAGCTACAAGGAACCCTGTCTTGAAAAACAAAACAAAACAAAACAAAACAAAAAGTCAAGTGAATCTAAATTAAACTGAAACAGGCTGTCTTCTCTATTTTGAGAAGTTCAGAGGCGGGTATGGGAGTAGTAGATAACTTAACCTAGTTTTTCAAAGAAATTTCCTTATTCTGTATAGAGTACTTGGTGTTAAGCTACTTGGTAAACCAACTAACTGGTCTATCACAAAACATCTGTACTAAAGGCAGTTGGGTAGACAGTGAATACAAACTCAACCAGTTGCTTACTTACATTTGAGATAAAAATCAAAAGCAAATTGCAGCCAGGTGCACTGTAGGCCCCAAGAAGAGATAAGAGCTGCAAAGGCTGTTATTAAGACGATGGCCAAGCAGGGTGTGGCAGTGCACGGCTTTAGTCCCAGTACTCTAGAATCAGAGGCAGCTGGATCTCTTTGAGTTCAAGGTCAGCCTGGTATACAAATCGAGTTCCAGGATAGCCAAGGCTGTTACACAGAGAAACCTTGCCGAATAACTGTGACTGTATATCCCTGGCTGGCCTAGGATTCGCCAGGTAGACCAGGCTGTCCTTTAATTCACAACGATCTGCTTGCCTCTAACTCCCTAGTGCTAGGATTAAAGGTATGTGCTACAGTTTTAAAGGGCTCAACAATTTATTCCTTAGCCTGGCAAAAAGGGACCATTTCTTGTGTTACGAGTGGATGAAATCTATCCACATCAGGCAGTAGCCCAGTCGCCCTGTGCTTTTTTTTCCGTTTTTTTTTTTTTTTCCGAGACAGGGTTTCTCTGTACTGCTTTGGAGGCTGTACTGGAACTCGCTCTGTAGACCAGGCTGGCTTCCAGCTCACAGAGATCCCGCTGCTTCTGCCTCCCGAGTGCTGGGATAAAAGGCGTGTGCCACCACCGCCCGGCCATCCTGTGCTTTAAGGACATCTTATAACCCTTTGAGATACCTGGGTCCAAGGAGCAATCTCCCTGAGTATTAGTGTTGTGCTATTTAACAGAAGCTAGCAATGACCTTCTCATCATAGCTATCAGGATAGTCTTCCTATAATCTTTTTTTTTCAGAGGACAAAGTGTCTGGCTTTCAATTGTGAAGAGGTTTTTTTTTTGGTGGTGGGGGGAGTAGGGTTTCTTGTCCTCAGCACCATTGACTTGGGATCAAATAATTCTTTGTTGTAGAAGGACTGTCCTGTGCACTACAGGAGCTTCCCAGTGTCATTGGCTTCTACCAACCCCATCCCCATACCTGACGACTCAGTGTCTCCAGAGGTTGTAGAATGTCCCCCCAGAGAGCAAATGAGCTGCAGCTTGACACCACTGCTTCAGAGGATGTGCTGGGAAGTCTACTCGGGCCTGTGAATAAGAGCGAAGGTGATTTGGTCAGTGAAGGGCTGAGGAAAATGTAACTTTTCTTTTCCTTCTTTAAAATTGAGACAAGGTCTTACTCTGTAGGCATGGCTGGCTTTCAACTTGCAGATCCACCTGCTTCTCTCTCCCAAGTTCTGGAATTAATTGTCTGTGTGTGGCCGGGCGTTGGTGGCACACACCTTTTATCCCAGCACTCGGGAGGCAGAGGTAGCGGGATCTTTGTGAGTTGAGGACAGCTTGGTCTACAGAGTGAGTTCCAGGACAGCCTCCAAGACAATACAGAGAAACCATGTCTCGAAAAACCAAAAAAAAAAAAAGTGTGTGTGCTACTTTGCCTGGCATATCCCCCCACCCAGACAGAGTCTGTCTGGGTAACAGGCCTAGCAGTCCTGGAACGAGCTCTGTAGACCAAGCTGTCCTCAACTCGGCCTCAATCTGCTTGCCTCTGCCTTCTGAGTACTGGGGTTAAATGCATGCATTACCACACCTGACTAATAATTAGATTCTAAATGGGCTCCCTTCCCTTCAAAAGGTTTCTCTCTTTTTCTTCTTCCTTTGTTCACCCATTAGCAATCATTTATTTATAGGATATTTAATTTTAGCATAGCTAGAAACAAACCAATATTCTAAGCCTAGGATTTTCTTCTTCCTTCCATCTATACTTCCTTCCTTCCTTTTCTTTCTTCCTTTTTTTTTGAGATAAGACCTCACTGTGTATCCCTAACTAGCTTAGAAACCCCTATGTAGACCAGGCTGACCATGAACTTGCAGAGAACTGCTTGCCTCTGTGTCCAACCCTGATAGTTTCCTTTTATTGACAAATTGTCAAGACTCTCTCTAGGGAGAATCTTACTGCCTAATAGGACAAGTACCAAAAGGCAAGGTTTGTGACTGTATTTATACAAGAAAACATAACTGAAATCTAATCAACATCATACAGAAATAGAAAGTATTAGAGAAGACTCGATGGCCCATCACATACAATCATCTTTTGTATGTGACAACCAGAATGTCTTAATTGAAATCAATATTATTTTTAAAAGAGAGAAAAACTTCAATAAAACAAGTCAAAACTGGAAAAGAAATGGTCTGGTTCTAGCTGACAATAAAAAAAGATATAAACTTATATCTGCTAGAGTGGCTATGAAAAAAAGAAACAAATGGTGAGGTTGAGGAGAAAAAAGAACTCTTGTATACTGTTGGTGAGAATTCAAAATTACTACAGTCACTTTGGAAAACAGTATGGAGGGCCTAGAACTACTAAAGAGTAATCTAGTAATCCAATTTTTTGGGTATACATTAAAAGGAAGTGAAATTACTATGCCAAAAAGATATCTGTATTACTATTAAGGCAGCTTAATATTTTTTTTTTATTTTTGAGACAGGGTCTCATATAGTTCAGGCTAGCCTTGAACTCGTTATGTAGTTGAGAACGATTCAACTCGTGGTCTTCCTGCCTCTACTTCCAACGTTTTGGAATAACAGAAGTACACCACCATACCTGGCAAATACAGCATCATTCATAATAACCAAGATACGGAAATAAAAAAAAAGTGCCTATCAACAACTGGATAGAAAAAACTGTGGCTACAAGGCTGGAGATGTAGCTTAGTGGCAGAGACCTTGACTAGCATTCTTGAGGCTCTGTGCTCGATCCCCCAGCACATGAACAAAAATGTGGCTGGGTAAGGTGGTTCAGGAATGGTAGCCTAGCATTCAGGAGTGAGGCAGGACGAATTTAGCTTAATGTCAGTCTGAATTATACTGTGAGACCTTGGACATATAAAAACGTTGTGTACTGTATATAATACACAATGAACTAATAACTCAATTTAGGCAAAGAATGAAATGTCATCTGCAACAACATGGTGGATGGATCTAGAGGACATTATATCCAGTCAAAAAAGGCAGGCACACAAAGCCGGTATCTCATCTCACTTTAAGTGGAATCTTAAAATGTTCAGTTCATTGAAGCAACAGTAAATAATTTTTAGTAGAGGCTGAGGGCAGGGAAAGGGGAAATGTTACTGAAAAGATACATTGTCTCAGGCAGCAATATGCAATGTGGCAATTTTAGTTAATATATCTATGATAATTAATAGTATCTCCTATAGGTAAGAGTGGATTTTAATTGAACATAGGGATGCACACCTATAATCCCAGTTTCTTGGGAGGCTGAGGCAGAGGTCTACAAGTTGGATAGCAGCCTAAACTACGTAGCAAATGCCAGTTAAGTCTCCGTCATTTGAGAACCCAATGCAACAAGAATTGGCTGGGGATATAATGGCAGCTTGCTTGCCTATTATAGGTAGGCAAGGGTGCGGGAGAAGGTGGTATATTAACTGTTTTCACTCCAAAGAATAATGTGGGATAGGTGATAGCTACGTTAATGAATCTGATTTGTTCATTTGGTAGTGTATTCATGCATTGCAATTTACCACTGTGCCCCATAAATATCAATCTGAAAAGTGAGCAAGGTAGTGAAGGAGCTTGTGGTTCCAGCTACTGTGAGTTCAAGAGCCAAAAGGCCAACCCCGACAACACAGTGAGATCAAGGATCAAAAAGTACTGCATTCGCACAAGTGGAGAACAAAGAGAATTGTCTAACCTTGCGATCAGCATGAGCATCTGTTACACCTGCGGGAGATGAAGCTGCAAAACGATGCTTAGACAGGGTCACAGAAACAGAGGCTTTTAATAGTGAAGTTCTCCAAGAGTTGTGCATGAGAATCGCTAGGTAACTTTAAAAAAATCTCGAAGCCCAGACATCACGAAAGAACAATTGCATCTGAATCTATGGATACCCATAGACTTTTTCTTTCTTAAAAGGCTTGTACCTGATTCCAAACAGGAGTCAAGATTAGAAAACATATACAAAATATGAGGATTTTTGAGGAAAAGAGGCGATAAGGAAAGATGAAGTAAAAACCCATGCAGGACAGGGCAGCTACTGCAAGGGCAGGGACAAAAGCCAAGAGTGCCAGCGAAGGATTTAAGGACTGCATGTGTTTCAGTGACGGGCTCTGGGTGACAGCATCGAGCTGGGAGCACTCGGGACTGCATTCAAATGAAGTTATTGTACCGTTGTTCCTGTCCCGTTCCATTTTCTCGCCCATTTTCCCACAGTTGACAAAAAAAAATTGACGGTAACGTTCTCTCCCACGCGTCGCGCCAGAGACGCCTATGGGAGGAGCGCGCGTGGGAGAGTCACGGCGCGCGGTCATCGCCGGCCCCCCCGGAGTGGAGATCACCTTAGCGCTGGGGTCCCGAGAGAGTATAGACAGGAGAAGGGCGGCTACTCCACCAAGGGTCCTCAGCCCACCGCCCGTTCGCGGACGGCGAGGTGGGTGGGTGGGGGAAAGGAGTGCCCAGGGACTGCTGACGTTACCGTGACGCGGCCTCACCGGCTGGCGGCACTGCTTCCGGCGGCGCGCGCGCCCCCCCCTTTCCGCTTTCCCGCCCACACGCCGCCTCGCCCCGCCCCCTTCTCACACACCCCGTCCCCTCGCCCCCCACCACAGAACAGAGCGGGGAACCGTCACAGGTTGCCAGTGGAAAGGGCCTCCCGCGGGTTCCCCTTCCGTTCTGCCTGGCGACTTCCGCTCCAGGCCCAGCAACATGGACGCTTCAGCCCACCGGCCGGGTGGCCGCTGAGCAGTCGCTGAAGCTCGCTCCCTTGAGCAGTGGCCGGCGGGTCTCTCCGCCTTCCCGTCCGGCGCTTGTGTCCCTGTGGCCGGCCGGCCCGGCCCTACATGGGGGGCGGGCCTCTGCAACCCCGGCTTGGCTTCCTGTTCAGAGGCGGCCTGGCGCTAGGCGGCGGCCACTCTACCCGCGCCCGCTTCGGTGCGGTCACCGAGCCCGGGAGGAGGCTCCAGGGCCGCATCTCGGGCGGTTGTGCCAAGCCGGGCTGTGAGCCGCCATGGCCCCAGTGCAGCTGGATAACCACCAGCTGATCCCTCCGGGCGGCGGCGGCAGCAGCGGCTCAGCGTCTGCCCCCGCTCCTCAGCCGCCGGGAGCCGCGGTAGCCGCAGCAGCTGCGGCCGCGGCTAGCCCTGGTTACCGGCTTAGCACGCTCATCGAATTTCTGCTGCACCGGGCCTACTCGGAGCTACTGGTGTTGACGGACTTGTAAGTGTCGCGAACCCATACCTGCTTCCCGGCTCCCCACTTGCCCTTCCCGCCCTGTGGACCCATAGAGGCTTGAGCCTGCCGTTTATTGAGCGCGGCTGTTTAGTGTAGAATTTTGGAATTCGTGGGGTTCGGGTTCCGGGGACGTGGGGGAGGTTAGTATTGGGGATCTGATTAGAGATGAAGCACTGAGATCCGGTTGGTTTCGCGTGTTACTCTTGTGCTGATGATTGTCTAGGATTTTTGTCTTGACTTTTCAACAGAACTCTATTGATTTCTTGGTGGAATCTTTAAAACCCTAAGACGGAGAGTTAAGCGTTCAGAACTACGTAACATTCTAAGTGAACGCGATTCTCAAAGAAGGGAAATGCTTTACAGCCTTTTGACAGTATGTTTTAAATGTACGTTGCAATTGTTTCTCTTTGGATTCAGGAGATAGATTTTGTTTAAAATCTTACATTCTGAGTTCTGAGTCTTTCGGAAACATTTGAAAGCGTTTGAAGTCTCTCTGAATGTAGTGAAAGTAAAATACGTTTTCCTAAGGAGCCTGCTGATTTCAGTCACCTAGTTACCTATGAAATGCCTTGGGGCGTGATTAGGGTGTTAATCCCTTCAGAATACAAGCAGAGCACACTGATGGCTCAGTGGGCGAAGAAAAGGCATTGTGAAATTTTGGAACTCTGTTTTACATCTTCTAGCTGAGGTTGATGAAAGTTTTCACCTTTTACCTACCTATTGTTAGGCTCCCTCAGGTTTCCAGGAAAAAACATTAGTGTGCAGACATTAGGAAGTCTTTGTGATACTTTGTTACTGTAGAATTAAATACTTGGTTGTAACCACTTAAAGCGTTAGAGACGGCTTCGCATACTCTTGTAAAGCATTCCCTTTCATTTTTGATGCACTATCTATTGAATGAGACAAAACTTAACCATGCCAAAAGAGGTGTCTTTTTTTTTTTTTTTAAGACGAGGTCGGTCGTCTTGTAACCTTCAGTTCTGTCTGGTTCAGCCTCTTTCGTGCTGGTATTACTAGTGTGGGTCAACATACTTGGCCGATTTTTTTTTCTTTTAACACAAAATCCTCTGTTTCCTAAGTGTTGGGATTCTAGGTGTGTGGCTCCTCCCCTCCGTACAGCTTCTGACAGAGAAATAGCTGTCACGTTTAGGAGTTCTTTTAGTCCTCTGGGCGGTGGTAGCTCACGCCTTTGATCCCAGCACTCTGGAGGCAGAGGCGGGCGGATCTCTGTGAGTTCCAGGCCTTGATCTACCGAGTGTCAGTACAGCTAGGGTATACGGTGAAATCCTGTCTCGGAAAACCAGAAAAAAAAAAAAAAGAAATCCGGAAGAGGAAGTTTCATATATGTCTTGTGCATAGCTGTGGGAACAGAGTGTGATCATGATTTTGTGCTTTGGTTTTCTATAGAAGAGTTGTATAAATTTATTGAATTGTGTTCTATTTTTAAGTTTTTGGACTGGCTTATGGAGAGGCATCTGTTTTATTGCTGTGGAATAATTTTGTGTGGTGATTCCTAAACATATCTCAAGCATAGACCTCAGCTGAATTCCACATTCTGTGTCTAGATCCATACATCTTAATATCTAACCCAGGAGCTGGGTTTGGTGGTAGATTTATGGCTAGGACCTCAGCATTTGGGAAGCTAAAGCAAGCTTTAGTCAAGCCTCAAACTACGTAGTTGAGACCTTATTTCAAAAAATACCCCACAGTCAGACATGGTGGTGCATGTCTTTACTTTCAGCAGAGGCAGGGGGGTCTAGAGTCAATTCTAGGACAGTGAGTGTTACATAGTGAAACTTTGTCTCAAACCAACAAATCCCTTCCCACCATCCAACACACATAAAGAAACCACACAGAGACACAAACTCACAAACAAAACAAAAAAAAAACACATGGAAAAAGTTTTTAGACTAACTTCTATTAGAGTGACTGTAAAATTTGTGGTCTAAACCAGGATACCTTTTTTTTTTCTTCAAAAGAGGGTTTCTCTGTATTGTTTTGGAGGCTGTCCTGGAACTGACTAACTTCTATTAGAGTGACTGTAAAATTTGTGGTCTAAACCAGGATACCTTTTTTTTTCTTCAAGACAGGGTTTCTCTGTATTGTTCTGGAGGCTGTCCTGGAACTCGCTCTGTAGACCAGGCTGGCCTCAAACTCACAGAGGACCTGCCTCTGCCTCCTGAGTGCTGGAATTAAAGGCATGTGCCACCAATGCCTGGCTCACCAGGATACCTTTTAACAGGAAAAAAAAGATGCTATAAATATAGTAGTTCATACTTGTAGCCCCAACACTATGGAGGTCAAGGCAGGAGTATCAGAAATTAAAGAACAGATTGTAGGCAACTTAGGGAGTTTGCTTGGACTGCTTGGTATTATGTTTCAATAATAATAATAATAATAATGCCCAATGTGCTGGAAATGTAGCCTAGGGGTAGAGCATTTGCCAGGTCCTGGCTCTGGCTCTTGAGCACCCCAAAACAAAATAAAACAACAAAACAAAAACAGCAAGCATACATGGGGACTGTGCTGTGCAAACCCATGCTGGTCATTTCACTTTTACTTTTAAGGCCCAGAGAGAACTTATCTACTCTTTAATTTATATGTTAATAGTCTCATTCTGTTCCATCTACCTACCCTAATCTTGATGTTTCTTGGTAGTTCTTGGCACAATTTACAATTGGATGATGCCTCTGCTCTTTTTCTAGGAATACATGTGGTTTTCCGTCTCATTTCCTTTAGGTCTAAGCTCACAAATATCTTGGATCAAAGACTTTCTCCAAGCACTCATGTAATAGTACTTTGCACCTTCTGTCCTCCTCCTTTGGTGTTTTTCCCTACAATGCTTACTTTTTGAGACATCATTAGCATACTGTGCCTCCCCCCATGGAATAGAAAATCCAGGAGAACAAAGATTTTAATTTGTTTTGGTTTCCCAGTGACAAGAACAATGTCTGGCATGTATTTGGGGCTTAACCAAATTTAGTACATGAATGAATGAATTTTCAGAAATGTCTCTTTAAACCATGGATAGTTAAGGAAAAGCAACTTATTTATTTATTTATTTACTTATTTTTTGGATGCAGGGTTTCTCTGTAATAGCTCTAGGTGTCCTTGGACTTGAACTCACAAAGATCTGCCTTTTCTGCCTCCCAAGCTCTGGGATTAAAGGTGTGCACCACCTCCGCCCTGCTGAACTGTTGTTGTTGTTATTATTATTAATTTTTTTCAGACAGGGTTTCTCTATGTAACCCTGACTGCCCTGGAACTAGCTCTGTAGACCAGGCTGGCCTCGAACTCACAGATTCTCTTGCCTCTGCCTCCCCAGTGCTGGGATTAAAGGTGGGCACCATCACCACCTGGCAACATTGCTATTCTTGATATTTAAACAAACAGCCCCTTTTTCAATTTATGTGGCAAATAGAATTTCTTGCTCTTCTTTTTAAAAAAATATTTATTTTTTATTTTATGTGCACTGGTATTTTGTCATGGGTGTTAGGTCCCCTGGAACTGAAATTACAGACAGTTGTGAGATGCCATGTGGGTGCTAGAAATTGGACCCTGGTCCTCTGGAAGAGCAGTCAGTGCTCTTAACCACTGAGCCATCTCTCCAGCCCTAGTCTTGCTTTTCTGTAGTCAAGGTTGGCATGGAACTTTGCATCCTCCTGCCAGAATTAATGTGTTAATGTAAAAGTCTTGAGGGACATGGTACTTAGTTTTTCAACAACTGGTTCTGTTTGAAACATGGAAGATAAAAAACACCAGCTTTGATGGCAGTGGTGGTACACACCTTTAATCCCAGCATTCAGGAGGCAGAGGCAGGTGGATCTCTGAATTTTTAAGGCCAGCCTGGTCTACAGAGCAAGTTCCAGGACAGTCAGGGCTGTCACACAGAGAAACCCTATCTCAAAAACACAAAAACAACAAAACTGGGGAAAAAAGTGATTCTATCTTTGATACTATCTATGTTCCTTGGTTTTAATTTTTTAGATCAAGTCACTAGGGAGGTTAAGAGTATTTATTAGTGGCTACCTCTCCTTTACTAATATCAGGTGCCCCATTTATAGACTTAGACACACACACAACAAAAAATAAACCCAAAAAACAAAGCAAAAAAAAAGTCAGCTTCAATAATTTAGGTGATTTGTTTTGAGCCCCAATATTTAAGAGTTTTCCTTCTGCTTGTTCACCTCCAACACATGTTCATACTTTTTGCCTTGACTTCGTAGGGGCATGCTCTTTGCTTTTTAACCTCTTTGCTAGGATTACAGCCAATGGACTTTTACTGAAGTGTGGAATAAATATGCTCTGTGCCTTCTTTCAACATTTGCATCTTAGGGGTCCCCCCCCCAATGTGGTAGATTTCCATAAAGGATTTTAAAATAGAAATGCAAGCTTTGGGCTAAAAGGGAGGCAGCAGCAAATCCTGTCCTTTGTCCTAGAAATGATAGAATTTCTGGTGGTCTCTGGGGGCAGGTAGGAGCTGGAACAATGGTTCCTGCTTTCCTATTCTACCCCTAAACTCTACTGTCTCCCCATCCCCCTAATCCTCAATTTTCTCTCTCTTGAGAAGAAGGCTTCTCAGGGAGTACTCTGAGGAGCATTTTTCATGGAGAGGAATTTACCAGGGGCTGCTTTTATTTGCAGTCTTTGAGACAGGCTCTTACTCTGTATCCCAGGCTGGTTTTGTGGCAGTTCTCCCGTCTCAGCCTCCCAAGTGCTTGTGATTACAGTGTGTGGTACCATACCTGGTTCTTATTTGCAGGCTTCTTTTTTTTTTACTTGTTTTTTTTAACGTTTGCCATTGGTGTTTAATCTTTTAACCCATTGCCAATTTACTTTTTTTTAAATTTTATTTTCCAGTTTAAATTTGGATAAGAAACAAGGTTGCTTCACAAGTCAGTTCCAGGTTATTTGCAGGCTTCTAATAGACCTTCAGTTTCTATTTGGCTTTCTGGTATACTGGCCTTTCCAGCCCATACTTACTTAAAACTCCCACCTGCACCTTGACCTCTGGTTTGGTCATTGTCCTGAACCTCATCTCTCCTCTAGGGATTGAGCCCAGGTATGTGCTAAGCAGGTGCTCTACCACTGAACTGTATAACCCAACTCTACCTAGTTCCTCTGTCACTCTGATCATACCTGTAGCTTCTAGCCATCCTAATGTCTTCCTTGAGAATAAGACAGAACTTACTTTAATAGTTTCCCCTCCTTGTACCTTTTTCTGTTTATGAGGCACATGGTATGAGTGTGTGTGTGTATGTTTGTGGTGGGGAGACCATTAAGCAGTTGGGGTACATTCTTCAGGATCTGATAATTGCTGGGCAGGCTTGAGGTGTTCAGGACATCTGAGTCTTACACCATGAGCTACAGGTTACTGGAATGTAGAGGTTCAGAAGGCTGATTATGATTAGGTCTTTTCCAAGCATCAGAAGTAGTATAATTCACCAAGGAGAAAGTTGACAGGGGTTGCTGGCAATCAGTACTAGAGAATTAGCAAAAAGAAATCAAGAAGACTACTGGTTCTATTTATTAATAATATAAATCATTCATTTAACCACTGTGCAATGTCATAATTGCCACAAAACCTTGATTGCGCCCTTAGCTTCCAGATTCGACTACTACAACATAACATAATGGGATTACTGCTAAGAATCAAAGTGCTCAGAGAGGTTTGGGTTCAGAGAGGTTGATAACTAAGCAATATTCCTACACCTGTAGCCATTTTGGTCTTAAAAGATACCTTTTCTGACTCTGATACTGTGTGCTGATGTGAGACTTGGGATATTTATTCATTTATTTTCTAGAGACAGGGTGTCTATGTAGTCCTGGCTGTCCTGGACCGGACTGGCCTCAAACTGAAACAGATCCTTCTGCTTCTGCCTCCTGAGTGCTGGGATCAAAAGGTGTAGGTACCACCCACATCCCTGGACTTGGGCTTTTTAAATGTTTGAAGTTTACACAGTATCTTCTGAATCATTTTGAGTGGAAAGAAATGTTGCTTTCTCAGTTTTTACTTTACAGCCATATTGTTGCTAATTTATCAGTGCAGGGAGTTAGCAGCCACTTGAGCCTGTAGTTACTGTTTGCTCAGTTTTTCTGAAAGTGTGAAGATACCAGATAGAGTCAGAGTACCAGGCCATTATCACATTTTGACCAAGGTATGCATATATTTAATCAACTTCTTTTTTCTTCTTAGATTGCCAAGGAAATCTGATGTGGAAAGGTGAGTATGAAAAAAAAATCTTAAATCTTTCTCCTTACTGATTTTTTAACCCTTCTAATCTGTGAGTATTAGTATGAATGGGGCTGTTGATGGTGTATAGCCGTGGATTAGGAACCTGGGCCCAAAGAAACCTAGAACTATATATTTAGTCAGGAGCACCAGGGAATGCAATTTTCTTATTCTTGGTACTTGGATGTGTAGAACTTTTGTTCTTTAAATCTTTATTGATGACTGACCACAGCAAGTCCTTGGGAGGAATAGTAAAATGTAACTACATAGTTTGTAATGAAAGTTGAGTAGACTGGCTTTGAACAGATGGCTATTAATTTACCAGTTGCTATAATGATGTTGTTAGATATCTTTTAGCTCATTGACTTTAGTGTCTTGCTATTGCTATTTTATAGGTGAAAAAATTTTGATTCAATTTAAGCTTGGGGCTTAAAACAACACTATGTTTCCATAGGCCAAAGGAACAAGATAAATTAAGACTTAAGGAGATCATGTTATTGGGATTTAAATTGGGACTATAATATAAGGCTAACTTGATTATATCTTTGATACTACCTATATGCCTTGGTGTTGATTTTAAAGACTAAGCCACTAGGGAGGTTTATAGTATTTATTAGTGACTACCTCTCTATTACCAACACCAAATGCTCATTTTGTAGATTTAGACACAAATCAAAAAGGTAGAGCTGGAAGACACAATTGAAACTTAACCTGTATGTATTGTGACTTGGCTTGTCAATTTTGTTTTCAAGACAGGGTTTCTCTGTGGAACAGCCCTGGCTGTCTTGGAACTTGCTCTGTAGACCAGGCTGGCCTTGAACTCAGATATTCGACCACCTCACAGAGGTCCACCTGCCTCTGCCTCCTAAGCACTGGGATTAAAAGTCTGGGCCACCACCTCCACCACTAGGCTGGCTGGTCAGTTTTAAGAGAAGGAAACAAGCTAGGTTTGTTATGCCTATTATGGTTTAGGAAAGAACACTGAGCTTTTGGAGAAATAATTCATTCGCCCTATCAGTTGAGACAATGTGGTGTCAGAAAACCACATTACAATAGTAGTTTACAGTGAAGGACATCTTTTTGATAGAGGAGCATATTTAGGAAAAAAAATACTAGACAAACCTAGTTGTTTGTTGGTAAGAGAGGGACAACACCAACGTATTGAGTCCTAAGGTAGGTGGTGTCCAGGTGGCTGTGTGGTGCTGGGTGTTGAACCAGAGCCCTATATTCTGAGCCACAATCCCCCCCATCAGATCTTAATGTACTTTTAACACGTGTTGTGTCTCAGTCTTGCTAGTTTTCTTTTATAATCCTTGACACTGACAAAGAGCCATAAGTATGCCCTTGGCTTTTCTTTTTTGTGTTTCCAGTAATCATGGTGTTGACTGTTCTTAAGGAAGTCTTTCAGGTTGTGTGTGGTCTTCATACACTCTCAATAACACCTTGACTTTGATGTATTCAGTCAGCATTAGACTTCAGCAAAAATACACATGATGCATTGCATCATGGTGATGTTATTGGCAAGATGCAGAGACGTTGTTTGGATTTGTAGGCCATTGAAAAGTCACATTAGGCCGGGTGTTGGTGGCACATGCCTTTAATCCCAGCACTCAGGATGCAGAGACATGCGGATCTCTGTGAGTTCCAGGCCAGCCTGATCTACAGAGCGAGTTCCAGGACAGCCTCCAAAACAATACAGAAAACCCTGTTTCGAAAAACCAAAAAAAGAAAAAAAGAAAAGTCACATTAAAATTAATAAATTCATCTGTACTTGGAGGTAGGTTGGTATTCTGGGTTTTGCCATTAGTTCTGGCATATTGAAGTTTTCTTTCCTCCAATGTCTTAAACAATGAAAGGTATGATTGTCAGTTTAGTGGTTTTGAAGAGGTCTAACTAACATATAGAAGGCAGAGAGTTTTTGGTTTTTGATGAAGATTTTAAAGCTTTTTTTTTTCAAGGTAGCGTTTCTCTGTGGCTTTGGAGGCTGTCCTGGAACTAGCTTTTGTAGACCAGGCTGGTCTCGAACTCACAGAGATCTGCCGGCCTCTGCCTCCCGAGTGCTGGGACTAAAGGCTGAGCCACCAACATCCGGCAGTTCTTAAAGCTTTATGAGATGATAAAAATATTGGTGATTGCTGAGTGAAAAAGCATAGAAGTGAGTACAGTATAAAAACAGATATGGACAGACCTACCTTTTCTTTTACTATTCAGTATATCGTCTTTAATTTGGCTAAGGTAATGAACTTAGCTGTTGAAATTCATCTGAGTAAGAGCTTCATAGAGAGTTCCTTGTTAAGTTTTTTTTTCAGTTATGCTGTTGAAAGTTGAGAAATAGCTCTTGATTTTGTAGAAAGAGCATAGTTCAAAGCTCTGATAAAGAATGTACTTCAATTCCTCTAACCAAAATGATAAATAGTTACCAGTAGTTTCAGTTATGAAATTTATATTTCATAGCTCCTAAATTGGTCCCCTCTGTGACTCATTTAACTTCTACTACCTCATATCAATGAATATAGTATATTATAGGAATCATTTATTACAATAAAAAATTAGTTTCATAATGTAATCATTGTGGAAAAACTCCTTTTGGATTTATTGTTCTGTGGTGAAAGGTACAGACAGGCAGAATGTAAAGATGAGATGAAATTAATATTTATGTAAATATTTTAGGGTAATTTCATTGTTCTTAAACACTTTTAAAATTTACATGACACAAATTGTGAAATATAATGTTCCGGTTCAGTTGAGAATTATTTTATTTTACAGGAAAATAGAAATTGTACAGTTTGCTAGCCGGACACGTCAACTCTTCGTTCGATTATTAGCTTTAGTAAAATGGGCCAATGATGCTGGCAAAGTAGAAAAGTGTGCGGTGAGTTAAATTTTTGATTTTACTTTGTATAAAATAACTTGAAAGATGGACATGGTAGCACATGCCTGTGATCTTAGCACCTAGGAAGCTGTGTAAAGGATGGTCATGAATTCTAGGTTAGTGAGACTACATAGTAACATGCTATTTTGAAACAAACAAAATAACTTTAAATGTTTTGCATAAGTTAGAATTTTAGTTTAACACCCGTTGATTAAGTGTTATTACCATTGTCAATAATTCTTCCCTTATGAAATTATATAATGCATTTCTGTGGAAGACTGGTATTTATTTTTGGATACTTGACCAAAAGGAAGAGGAAATACCTGGAAGACTTTAATATATCACTGGAGGAACTAAAGGGGAGAAAATGGTTAGCTTCAAAATTGTATGATTCTTTGGAGCAGTGATTCTCAAACTGTGGGTTGCAGCCCCTTTGGCAACCCTGTGTCTTCAAAAATATTTACATTATGATTCATGGCATTAGCAAAACTATAGTTATGAAGTAGCAACAAAAATAATTTTGCGGTTGGGGTTCCCCACAGTATGAGGAACTGTATTTAAGGGTCACAGTATTAGGAAAGTGGGAACCACTGAGCTAGTTTGTAGGTTCTCTCATAGTTTGCTTATTGATTTCTGGTGTCCTTGTGAGAATGGCAGAATCTGCATTTTCTGTTTTAATAGATGAAATGATACAACTTCTAGAAAATACATGGCTTCTTCAAGGTCATAGAACTGATATAGCATGCATCAGTTCAATTGTTTGTTCATTTACTCATGCTCTAAAACTACTGAACATGGGCTATAATGGGTAGCAGGGAATGACTTGAATAAAAACATAGTCCCTGCTTCAGGAAGCTCCGTAGTCTTTTGACTGTTGAATTACTCTAAAGTCAAAAAAGTGACTTCATAGAGTGAAGAGTAGCAAAGACTAAACCTAGCCCTGAACTCACAGAGATCCTCCTGCCTCTGCCTCCCAAGTGCTGGGATTAAAGGAGTGTGCCACTAACGCCCAGCCCCCCAAAAAAAAGTTTTAAGGGGCTGGAAATGTAGTTCAATTGGTAGTACTTCTACAGCATGTAATAAAATAAGTCTTTTCTCCAGCACTGCATGAACCAGGCATGGTGATGTTTTCCTGTAATCTCAACACTTGAGAGGTGGAGACAGGAGGCTCATAAGTTTAAGATCATCCTTAGCTACATTGTTAGTTGAATCCTGCAGGAGATCCTGTTTCCACACAACAATAACAACAAGAGCCATTCAAGTTGTTTTTTTTTTTTTTTTTTTTTTTTTACGAGACAGGGTTTCTCTGTATTGTTTTCGAGGCTGTTGGTCCAGCCTGGCCTCGAACTCACAGAGATCCGCCTGCCTCTGCCTCCCGAGTGCTAGGATTAAAGGCGTGCGCCACCACCGCCCGGTGAGCCATTCAAGTTTTAAGCTAAGAATAAGAGGACAACCTAGGGGCCTTGAGTGAGCTTACTGAGATAACTTGGGTAGGGTGATTTGATGTTCACAGAGATGGAACACTGGCTCTTGTTTTACTTCAGTCACTCTTAATGAGTTCATACTGAAACAGGAAATTAGTGAATAAAGTCAGTGAGCTCCAAAGATCCCATGTCTGTCTCCCCAATGGTTGAACTATTGGTGTATACCTTCATACTTAGCTTTTTATAATTGGATGCCAGGAAACTAAGCCCAGGTCTTCATGCTGTGTGCCAAGTATTTTGCTAACCATTCTCTCCAGTTCCCAGTGATCTTTTAAATTTCAAAGATTGGTATATCTCTATCCCCACAAACAATTTTATAATTTTTATCAACACAAAAAGGAAACTTGTACCATTTATCTATCACTCATAGTCCTTACCTATAGGCAAGCATTAACCTACTTATCTGTTTGAATTTGACTGTTATGAACATTTCATAGAAATGGACCTTTCTCAGACATTTCTTTTTTTTTCTTTCTTTTTTTTTTTTTTTTTTTTGCTTTTTCCAGACAGGGTTTCTTGGCTTTGGTGGCTGTCCTGGACTAGCTCTTGTAGACTAGGCTGGTCTCAAACTCACAGAGATCTGCCTGCCTCTGCCTCCCGAGTACTGGGATTAAAGGCATGTGCCACCAACGCCTGGCCAGAGATTTCTTTATAATATTTTTAGTATGAATCAGTACTTCATTTATATTGACTCGCATGGAAATAGACATTTTGTTTTGTCTCTTCTTCTCTATTTGGGGCTATTATAAATAATGTTGCAGAGTTTTTTGTATGTGCTTTTCTTTTGAATATATACCTAATAGTGACTGTATCATAGATAATTCTGCTTCATCTCATGAGCTGGACTATTCTCTATAAAGGATGCACCATTTTACATTGCCACCAGCAATGAATGAAGGATATTTTCCATATCCGTGTTATTATCTGCTTTGAGTTTAGCAATCCTAGTCCATTCATCCTCCCTGACTGACTTCCCAGTGTCTATTTTGAGGCAGGGTTTCACTGTGTAATGTAGGCTGGCCTTGTATTTGCTATGTTGCCTAAGCTGAAGTTAAACTTGTGATCTTCCTGTTTTAGTGTCCTGAGTGCTGGATGACAGGCATGCACCATCATGCCTGGTTTGCACTAGAGTTTCAACATCCATTTCTCTGTTGACTGGTGATGTTGAGTATGTGTTCATTGGCCATTTGTATTTCTTCCTTAGAGAAATGCCCATTTACTGCTCAAAGTCTAACAATTATTAACCATATTGATAGTTGGAGTGTAAATATGTTTTTTCCTCAAAACAGGGTTTCTCTGTGTAGCTTTGGAGTGTAAATATGCTTTAAAATGAATACTGATTACTTGGTAGCTATGAGGTTACTAATAAGTTGCTCAAAACTAAAGCATTATTATTAATCTGATTTCTAAATTAAAGAAAACTGAGCTTAGTGTATCTTGACTTCTGCAATTGTTTCATTACACAGTACTGCAGACTAGATAAACTGATATCTCAATTTATCTCCCATCTTTCCAGAGGGAAGGTCTCTGGTTTTCTTTTTGCTTAACTTGTTCTTATGAACATTTTTACCTGTGAGTGTAAAGTTTTTTTTTTCCAGGACAGCCTCCAAAACAATACAGAGAAACCCTGTCTTGAAAAAACAAAACAAAATAATTCCTTTATTGTGCAGAAAGTTGCCTGACTTTCATACTGGCAATATGATGTATACTATGTTCTTAAAGTTAGAAATGTATTTAGTTCTCAGAACAACTTTATGAGGTTGGGAATCATTACCTCCATTTTACTGTTGAAAACCTTAGGCAGAGAAAGGTTAACCTTTTTGCCCAAGCAGACAGGGCTAGTAAATTAAAGAGTTAAAATTTAGATCAAGACAGTTTAGGAGTCCATGATTTTAACTACTTCATTGCTACCTAGTACTACAAGTCTATCAGTAAAAACCACTTTACTTTACCCTCTTCTTAATATTTGGTATTATGTATGAGTGATGGCAACAGTGGAGAAATGAAAAAGTGCCATTTTAGTGTCATAGATATAGATACTTCTTCAAATAAATATGAAACTACCTATTTTAATATCCTTTGAAACTTGCTTTGGAGTATATAAATGATATTTAAGAAGAAAGCAATTTTTAAGGCAGCTTATTTACCCTTTGCTTTAAAGATGATCTCAAGCTTTTTAGATCAGCAAGCAATCTTGTTTGTGGACACCGCTGATCGCTTGGCCTCCTTAGCTAGAGATGCACTGGTCCATGCACGCCTGCCTAGTTTTGCTATCCCATATGCCATTGATGTGCTGACTACTGGCTCTTATCCACGACTTCCAACCTGCATCAGGGTAAGTGTTTTGCCCCTGTCTGTACTCATAAAAGTTGAAGGCTTTGGGTATGGATTATGTAGCATAGGAAAAACTTAAGCTTATGTAGTTGTTTTTTTTTAATCTAGAAGTAGAATTGTGGTAGCTTGAAATAAATTGGGGCCATGATGTGAGTAGATCACTGGGGAATCTTGTCTTTCCTCTTTTTTCCCTTCATTTTCTCCCCTTTCCCTGTCCTTGTTGGGAGTAAGCAGATATGCAAATATTATTTAGTTTCTATTTCAAGTGTGAAAATAATTGCATAGCGGTAGCATTTTGAAAGTGAATTTAAAATGTATTATGGTAGTTGAATGAGTTGGTGCTATTATATTCTGTACATTTAGGAAATAGAAGAAGTCATCTAGTGATATTAACTTGGTGTCATAAAGAACTTGGTTTTACCAAGGTGACAGAATTATTCATACTCATATGCATAGTCACTGTTATTGGATGTAGACAACAGAAATGGGTGTTGTTGTCTTGAGTAAAGTAAGAACATGTATAAAGACAGGTGCGGGTAAACAGTTTCATCTTTTTGCATATTATTTTAAAGATTCTTTTTTTTGTAGGATAAAATTATTCCTCCAGATCCAATTACCAAAATTGAGAAACAAGCAACACTTCATCAGCTTAATCAAATTCTTAGACATAGACTTGTAACAACAGATCTTCCTCCACAGCTAGCAAATCTTACAGTGGGTATGTACCTAAATTTTTTTTTTGGGCTGATCAGTGGTGGTGCTCACTTTTAATCTCAGTCCTTGGGAGGCAGAGGCAGGTGGATCTCTGAGTTTGAGGACAGCCTGGTCTACAGAGCTAGTTCCAAGACACCTAGGGCTGCTACACAGAGAAACCCTGTCTCAAAAAAACAAAAAAAGAATATTTTCTTGGTCTGACTGGGCAGTGGTGGTACATGCCTTTAATCCCATCACTCAGGAGGCAGAGGCAGGCTGATCTTTGTGAGTTTGAGGCCAACCCAGTCTACAGAGCTAGTTCAAGAACAGCCAAGGCTACATAAACATACCCTGTCTTGAAAAAAGAATATTTTTTTGGATTGAGAGATGGCTCAGAGGTTAATAACACTGGCTGTCCTTCCAGAGGTCTTGAGTTCAATTCCCATCAACTACATGGTGGCTCACAACCATCTGTAATGAGATCTGGTGCCCTCTTCTGTCATGTAGGCATACATGCAGGCAGAATACTACATATATAATAAATAAATCTTTTTAAAAAAGAATATTTTCTTAAATGTCCTTTTGTGTTTTGTTCAAAGAACAGGTAAATAAAGTTTTAATTTTTGTGGTATTTGAACCTGTGATTTGCCATCCATAATTGTTCTTTTTTTAGTACCTAAAAATAAAGTGCTGGTATTTGCAGGGGAGGTGGGCAGTGAATGTGATTACCTGAGGTTGGAAGAGAAAAGAGGCCCCAAAATTGAGCCTGGAGAACATGCTATGCTGTTGATTTATATGTAGAAAGAGTTGCCTTTGGTTTCTTAATGATCTAGACATTGGATTGTGTCTGTGTCTGAACCATTGACTTGATTCAACACGTAGGACCAAACTTATAATCCATTTAAAATGTCTCATAAATGAAACCTAGGACAAAACTTATAATCCATTTAAAATGTCTCATAAATGAAACTGAAACTTGGAGATTAGCCAGAAGCTTATTGTTTTAAAGCAATGTCCACTTCTTCCTCTTCTAAAAGCAAATGGTCGTGTGAAGTTCCGAGTTGAGGGAGAATTTGAAGCAACTTTGACGGTAATGGGAGATGATCCAGAAGTTCCATGGCGCCTTCTCAAGCTTGAAATTCTAGTTGAAGATAAGGAAACAGGAGGTAAATCATCATAGTACTGGTTTTGGTGTTCTTTTTTCCCTTTACATACTTATACGTTTATTCATTGATTTATTTACCTATTTATTCTTATTGAAGTATTCCTGCAGAAAAATGTGTAGCAACTTATCCTGTAAAGCAAAATTTTGATAAGCATAATTATCTACTGAATGGAGAAATTTCAGTGTTTGTTAATGTATAATATTCTATAGTTTTTTCAAGATAATCCCAGGTCCTCTTTTTTAAATTTTATATTCATTTTTGGTATACACTTCCTTGGTTAATGCTATAACACTGACTTCTCTGTTTAATTAACTGCCTTCTTTTTTTTTCTGCCAATGGTAGATGGCCGAGCTTTGGTTCATAGCATGCAAATCGACTTTATCCATCAATTGGTGCAGTCTAGGCTTTTTGCTGATGAGAAACCTCTTCAGGACATGTACAACTGTCTCCGTATCCTTCAGAATTTGAGAGATTGTAGTGTAAGGATTTGTGTTTCCCTCTTTCCATTATATTTTCTGTTTATCCTTTGTCCTGAAATGTAGTAGTCTGGCCTCTCTTTCCACCTCTTTTGGGTAGAAATAGACATGCAAAACCAGTCAATGTGAACATTAATGATACATGTATAATAAGACAGGTTTTAAATTTTACTACTGACTTTACAGGCAACTCCTAAAAGTGATTACTTTGAAATAGTATTGTTTGCTGGGCAAGGTTGTACATACCTATAATTCCAGCATCTGAGAGGCAACGCTGTGTAGTTAGTAGGAAAGCCAGCTTGTATTACATAATGAGAACCTGTTTCAAAAAGGTACTATTTTGGTCTGAAAATGTATTGATCAATTTGTATTTTCTAAACAGTAATGAATAAAGGGATAAACCTGGACCTAGTTTTGTTTATTTAGGTCAAAATTATCAACTCTTTTTCTAAAATTATGTCATATTACTACTTCTTATGAATTGTCATTTGAGAATATAACTTTAGAAAATGACACATTTTGTCTTATTTAGGATGAGTCATTAGACAAAGATGATTCCAAAAATTTCTTCATTGCCAGCTTTTTGGGCATAGATTCCTTGTTAGATGGCATTTGACTGTGCATATTGGCTGCTAATATAACATGTTATATTGGATTTGCTTAACATAAATCAGATTGTTTCTGCTTATCACTTCAATTAGAAGTGCTACATTCCCAGACTCTGATGTTAATCCGAGAGAGGTGGGGTGACCTTGTACAGGTGGAAAGGTATCATGCTGGAAAGTGCCTCTCTCTCTCAGTTTGGAAGTAAGTATAATTGGTTCTGGTAGGTATGAGTGACAAGTGACTCCTTTTTGTTTGTTTGTTTGTTTTTGTTTTGTTTTTCCCCCTCATATAAGTGATTCATTACATATGAATAGCTATGTGCCCAGAGTAATGTGATTTAATTTAGTAACATTCCAATATCATGTAGACCACATGAGACATCCATAATTGCTACGTTTTTTACAGTATTACACTTTAGATTTGTAGACATCTATTTTTTTAAGTTAGATTTCCTTACTGTGGGCTCATGCTAGATTGTTCAAAGACTGTTAGTTTCAACCAGGTTTTTGGGTTGTGCTGGTGATCAAATCCAGAGCCTTATGCATGCAAATGGAGTTATATCCCTAGTGCCCAAAGGTTAGATTGTTGAGTTATCACTTTTTAAAACATACTTGTTCATTACAGTTTTCCATTTTAAATTGTAACTTTGAAAACTGATTTGGACAAAGTTGATATGAGGCTATTTACCTTTAATTCCTGTTTGAACTTGACTTCTCAGTTTCCGTAGAAAATCAGGCAGACTGCCTATAAGGTGATTTCTGTTTAAGTTTTGTGGGTTTTGTGTGTGTGTGTGTGTGTGTGTGAGTGCTTGTATTTCATTTTAAAATCACTGTTTTAAAAATATAATAGAGCAAATGCTGAATTGGATTATGGAATAACTGTCTTCTCAGTATTACTGTATTCCCTGCACAAACACACACTGAGTGCCTACTATGTTGAAGATTCTGACTCAGTAGCATAATGCATGTTTCTGTTTGCCTGGAAAAGTTGAAAGCTGTGTTTATATGTCATTCTCCCCCTGCCCTCTTTCAGCCAACAGGTTCTGGGGAGAAAAACAGGCACGGCATCTGTTCACAAAGTTACAATTAAAATCGATGAGAATGATGTCTCCAAGCCTTTACAGATATTTCATGACCCTCCTTTGCCAGCTTCTGATTCTAAATTAGTAGAAAGAGCTATGAAGGTAAAGGATTCTCCGTGTATCTTAATACTGATTTGACTAAATAAATATAATTTAGCACATATAAAACTTTTAGCACAAATTTTTAAAAATATGTAATCATTTCTAAAACCCTGTATTTCTGTATTTGTTTGTCTTTTTAACATCTGATACTATAAAAAATATTTTTTAATATCTCAGTTTTAGTATGTAGGCCAATGCTATGGATTGCATTTAAGTATACACTCTTATGCTGAATTATGCCCCCGGGCTAGTTTAAGTTTTGTAGTTTAAATCAGACCATTTTAGTTTTTAAGCTCTGGCGTCTGAAAACTGTGACTACTGATATGTATATGTTGTTGTTTTGAGGCACAATCTCACTATGAAGCCATGGCAGGCCTGGAACTTGTTATGTAGACTAGGATGGCCTCAACTCACATAGATCAAACTGCCTGCCTCTGTCTCCCAAGTGTAAGGAAAGGTCTCATGTCACCCAGGCTGGCCTCAATCTTATTACGTTTCTGAAGATGACCTTTGAATTTCTGATCTCCTGCCTCTACCTCCTGAGTGCTGGAGTTACAGGCCACCACACACAGTATATGAGATGATGAGGAATCAAATCCAGAGCTTCCTGCATGCTGAGCACATGGCCAACTGAACTATGTAGCCACAGACTCCTGTACTTAGCAAAACACAAATTTTAGTTTTATAGTTTCTAATGTCATGCAAAATAATTAAAAACTCAGAATCATTTTTTAAGTTATATTTTTACTTTATCTAAATTTGCTTATACTGGTTAGGATGTCTCCAATAAGCTGGGCGGTGGTGGCGCACGCCTTTAATCCCAGCTCTCGGGAGGCAGAGGCAGGCAGATCTCTGTGAGTTCGAGGCCGGGCTGGACTGACAGCCTCCAAAATAATACAGAGAAACCCTGTCTCATAAAAACCAAAAAAAAAAAAATAAAGAAAGAAAGATGTCTCTAATAGTGACATCTTAAGGCACAGTTTTGTGCACTTACACTTCTATAAGCATAATGTTTCAATTGTACATTTGCTTATGTTGTTGCTATTCATGCAGATTGACCACTTATCAATAGAAAAGCTCCTGATTGATAGTGTACATGCAAGAGCCCATCAGAAGCTGCAGGAAATGAAGGCTATTCTTAGAAACTTCAATGCTAATGAAAACTGTAAGTGTTTTCAATTGCTGCTCTTACTTTTATTTAAGGGTTTTTCTTATATGATTTCCCGTGATGTATGGTTTTGTTGAGGAGGCTGGGCCTTTGTTGAATTTAACCTGAAATCTGCCATACCTGTCCTAATTTCTACCTTATTTATTTATCTTAGCTTGTCTTTATTTTTGAATTGTTTACACAGTCTCTCCTCAAAAATGTATACTTACTAAATAGAAACATTTTAACATGTGTCACAATTTAGTTTTCTTCTCCTGACAAAGCAGCACTGAAAATACTTTTATAATGTATTATAAAATATGGCTGAGCAAAGCAGAATTTAGCTCTTGTCTTCAGTTTTATTAAAACTGTAAATGCATTAACAGTGTTAAGAATAAGAAATGCAGATGTAAAGAGAGTGGAAAATCTTCTAAGTTTGATTACCTACCTAATCTGTTAAGAACTTTAGATATAGAAAATTCTTCCATTCCATGTGGTTCTCTATTTACTGTCCAAATGCTGGGATTAAAAGTGTGTACCACTCACCATTGCCAGGCAAATATGGGAAGCTTCACAAATTGTCATCCTTTCTCAGGGACCATGCTAATCTTTCCTGTATGGTTCCAATTTTAGTATATGTGTGATTTTTGTTTTGTTTCTCTAGACAGTGTTTTACTGTGCCGCCCTGGCTGTCCTGGAACACGATCTGTAGTTCAGGCTGGCCTCAAACTCACAGAGATCTGCCTCTGTCCCTGCCCGCACCTCCATGTGTTGGAATTGAAGGCATTTACCACCATGCCTGACTGATTTCTTGATAGTGGACATTCTAACTGTAGTGAAATGCATTCTCAGTGCAGTTTTGATTTGCATTTTATTAAGAGCCAAAAATGTTGAACATTTCATTTATTCATTGGCCTTTTTTTGAAAACTGTTCAATTTGCTCATTTATAGTTTGGATGATTTTTCTGTATTTAATTTTTTGAGTTCTTTATAGATTCTAGATCCTAATTTCCAGATATACAGCTGGCAAAGATTTTCTTTTATTCTATAATCTATCTCTTTACTTTGGTTATTGTTTACTGTGTAGAAGACTTAATTCCACATAATCCCATTCATCAATTCTTGTTGGTATTTCCTAATCTATTGGAGTCCTTTGCCTTTGTGTACATATTGAAATGTTTTTACATTTTAGGTTTTGAGATGTTTGGAATTTAAGTTTTAGAGACTTGATGATAGAGATCTAGTTTCATTCTCCTGTAAATGGATGTTAAATTTTTCCAGCATCATTTTGAGTTTTCCCCCCCCCAAAACCCCAGTGTGCATTTTTGGTAATTTTTTAAAAAACCAGATGGGTGTAGTTTCCTGCATTTGTTTCTGGGGTCTGTATTCTATTCCATATTGGCCTACAGATCTGTTTTTTGACAGTACCATGTTATTTTGTTACTATAGCTCAGTTGTATAGTTTGAAATAGGTTTTGTGATGCCTCCAGCATCATATTTGTGTGGGTGCAGGCCACAGGACAGTTTGGACCTTGTTTTTTTGGATTGCTGTTTTACGGTAGTGTTTTGAATCAAGATCTCTCACTGACCATTTGCTACATAGATTAATGTGAACTCCAGGAATCTGCCCATCCCCACCTTCCTAGCACTGCACTGACACCACCATATGCTGCCTCTTTCTTACTTGGGTTTTAGAAACCAGACTCTGGTCCTTGTATTTCCAAGGCAAGTACTTTCCCAACTGAGCCATCTCTCCCCATTCTCCTCTGATTGTTGTGTATTGTTTTTAGACAGGGCATCTCTATTATCCTGGTTGCTCTGGTATTTGTGATGTTGTTTAGGGCTAGCTTGTCTCACCCTCCTGGGATCAGAGGCATGTGTCATGTCTGCTTCAGCATTGATTTTCCTGTTCAAGATTGCTTTGGCTGTTTGTGCATTTTCTGCTTTTATATAGGTTTTAGGATTATTTATTGTAATTCTTATATTTTTGGTTGTGAGTCCAGCCTTTCACAGTTGAGCCATCCGTCCTGCCCTGCTTACTGTAATTCTGTGAAGAATGACTTTGGAATTTTTAAGGAGATTCCTCTGAAACCAGATCATTTTCAGTAATACAACCTATAGTTGAATGTTTTTCTCTGTCCCGCTGGTCCCCCTGGACCAGTTTCTCTCCTGATCCCTGGTCCCTGCAGTCACTTGTGAAAAAATTACTCAGAGGCTAATATTAGATATAATTGTTTGGTCAGTGGCTCAGGCTTAGTACTGGCTAGTGCTGTGTTATAAATTAAATCATTTTTAATAATGTTTCACCATGTGGCTGTGGCTTACTGGTAATGTTCTGGCATCTTACCTCTTTGGCAGATAAATGGCATCTTTCTGTCCCCGCCTTCTTTCTTTCTCTGTCTCTTTTTGGGCTTCCTGCCTAGCTATGTTCTGCTTGGCCATTGGCTTTATTCAACAACCAATAAAAGCAACACATATTTGCAGCATACAGAAGACATCCCACAACAACCATTTTGCAGAATTAGTTCTGCTGATGTATGAGCATGTTATTGTATCTTTTAGTGTGTTGGTTGATTGCTAGATACAGGTTCTTACTCTACAATACAGACTATGCTGAAATGTTCTATGTAGCCTAAGCTAGCCTTGAATCGTAGGAGTCCTACTGCTTTAGCTTTCAAAGTGCTGGTATTTTAAATGCGTGTTACCACAGTCGTTTATGTCATAAGGTCTGGGGATCACACCCAAGGTTTTATACATGCTAGGTGGCAAATACTACCAATGTAACCACATCTCCAGCTTCTCCATGAGACCAATTTCCCTTTACTACCACCAGAAAGCAGACCTCTAATTCTAAGATAAATTTCCAGAAACTGGCAAACTACCCTCAGGCTATCGTCAGGGAGGGCCCGAGGGCTCCTTGAAAGAGGTCTTTTGAAGAATAAATGTTACAGATACATTAGAACTATAGGTCTACCTAAATATATCTTGTCAAACAAGCAGCCACAGGTATCAAACGGAGCTGACCAAAAAGGTACAGGACCTTGCTTCTTAACTGAACTCATGTCTTGGAAGAAGTGGTTATGGTTTGGGTCAAGTCATTCCTGTGTTGGTTGGAGCTCTCACTTTGTCTTGCCTGGAGAGCTCAAGTACAGAGACTGTTAAAGGAGATGAGGTTGCCATCCCTGTAGCCTGAATCCTGGCTGCTTCGTAGAAGTTTGCTCCATCTAGATGGGTTTTTCAAAACAGAAATTTCAGTGACTTCCTAACTGCTCAAAGCCACCGCTGGAAACAGGCTTCTCTGTGTCAAGGAGTCAGAGCTCCTTTTGGTGATAGGCTTCTTTCTTGTCAAACTTGAGCTCATTGGGTATAGAAAGGGTCTATATCCAATGAATCAGTGGTATACTGACTATGAAGAGGGATGGACCATCTGTAGAACATGGTGCTATTTCTTATCAATGGCATTGAGAAACATTCCTCCTCTCCCCAGCATAAGAGTTCCAGAGTAGCAGATCACATACCTGAACCTCTTCCAACTCCTTGCCTTATAGGAATTGACTTGATGGGCCCATACAGTGAGGACGGTGTCATAAAGGAACATATTCTTTGGCCCATGAAAGCATCTCTATGACTATGATGAACAAAACCATCTCTGTTTGTTGACAGCTCTTGATAAACTTGTCTAAACTTTGCTGAGGTGAAACTTGTCTCTGCATGCAAAAGCGGAGCCTGTGTGCTTGAGCGTGCCTATGGCTGGGTTCATGATAGGGACCCTGTCCCAAAATGATGATCTTCCCATCTCTTAAGTCACATACTGGGACTTGGTGTGGTAGTGGATTAACCTTATTTTCCTTTCTTCCATTATGTATTCTGTTACCTTTATAAAATATGGATTGCTGAACTTGTGGTATTTCCTACAGCTTTCTCCAAAGCCCATGGACATATTATAGGTCATAAGCTTCAAAGAGCTGCAGCCTTGTTCCTTCTGATTCAGACCAGGTTGCAGCTCAGTGGCTTAATAATGTGTGGCAAGAGAGGTAGCTGTTCTGGGTGCTGTTGACAGGGCTCATTACTGCATCACCATTGCCTTCATCAACAGTTCACGAGTTGCTACCCTTGTTGGCTGCCTCAGGGCTGTAGGTATGTCAGTTTCTGGTCAGCCTTGCAGTGAAATAGGGAATCTTCTGGCTGATGGTCCTGAAATCACACATGATCTTTTAAATGTGTTGCTGAATTTGGTTTGCAAATATTTCATTGAGAATTTTTGCACTATGTTCTTCAGAAAAACTGATCTGTGTTCATCCTTGTCTGGTTTGGTAGCAGGGTAATATTGATTTCCTAGAATAAGTCCTGTGATGTTGTCTCCCTTTCTATCTTTATGGAATAGTTTGAAGAGTTTTGGTATTCTTTTTTTTTTAAAGTCCAGTAAATTTGGTAGTGATTAATCCATCTGATCTTGGACTTTTTAACCTGAGTAACTATCACTTTAGTCTCACTGCTCTTTATAGATCTGTTTAAATGTTTTTTATGCTCTTGATTTTATTTTAGTAGGTCATATATAAAAACCTACTCATTTCTTCTTTGGCTTTTTTGAATATAGGTTTTCAAAGTATTCCCTAATCAGTCTCTGGATTTCATTGGTATATATTGTAATGTCTTCTTTTTCATGTCTAATTTTATTGATTTGATTTTTCTCTTTTTTAGCCTGCCCTAAAAGTTCATTGATTTCTGTTTGTCCCAAAGAACCAAATTTTTGTTTTATTGATTCTTTGTATTGTTTTCATTTCCATCTTGCTATTTTCTGCCCTGATCTTGATTAGGTTGTTGTAAAAGCAATTGGTGTTTTGTATTGTTGAAATTTGACATTTAATACTAGAATATATTAGTATACTATACATCTTATTTTTTCAAGACAGGGTTTTTTTGTTTTGTGTGTGTGTGTGTGTGTGTGTGTGTGTGTGTGTGTGTGTGTGTGTGTGTGTGTGTGTGTGTGTGTGGTGATGGGTGCCTTTATCTGCTGA